CTAGCCATCTATATGTTAGAGATTGACACAGGAAAAGCTGTTTTAATATCGGATTCTAGAAGATCTATTTTGAAAATTGTCACAGATGGCATCAACAGAGGGAACGTTAGAATCACGTTGAGAACGAGGAAGAAAATATTAGATATCCAGGATGAAGGAAAGGAAATCAAAATACTGTGGGTGCCACAACATACAGGCATAACAGGAAATGAAAAGACAGATAGACTTGCTGGAAGAGGCTGAGAGGCAAATAATGCTATCAACTGAACATATACACTATGATGATTTATTCAGAGTAGTTAAGGAAGAGACATGGAGGCAATGGGCTGTGGAATTTACCAATAGAGGTAGAAATAAATCAAGCCAATACTACAAATTAACGAAGAAACCCCAAAGAACACCGTAGTTAGTAGTAGCAAAAATTAAAAGAGCTGACAGACAAAAAACTAGCGACTTTTGCAGAATCAGAACTACACATTGCCTCATACCTATACACAAATACAAACTTGGCATGCATGACGGCGAATATTGTGAATGTGGTGAAGTGGGTGATATCAATCATGTGCTCTTGAACTGTGAGCTGAACAGAGGTCCTACAGATTCGTTGTATTTAAGAGTGAACAAGATGGTAGGAGGACCGATACAGATGGAAGAAATTCTTGCAAATCCAACCAGCAGGGAAGCAGAGATGGTTATGGATTGTATCAAGAAGTTTGATGTAAGAATCTGAAAATAAGCAGTAGTTCATGGTTACAGTTTTATTATAGAGTGGAGCTATTTGGTGTGCTCCATGATTTAGAATGCTATTAGGTACTAATGCTTATAAAATGTGATTGGTTGTTACATGTTCATTTTTTCAGGCACGTATCCTATATACTCCTATTTCTCTGGCGTTTCCAAATTCCCCGCTGTACACGCCACAGCAAAAAATTACCTATTCATCCCCATTTGAAACCTAAACTATTGGCAAGTGGGGTAATCCCCACCCCGATGCAATAGACACAGAAGTGATAGGATTCTGGCTGACTATTGTGTGACGATAAGGGGCCAATGGTAAACAGGAAGAGGAAGAAGAAGAAAAAGAAGAAGAATAAACTGAGCTGCGGTTTCGAAATTAGAAAAATCTAGAAATCTCCTACGCGTGGGGTTTATCATAGAGACTGGTAGAAATAAAATAGGAATTGTAGAAGTAATATAGCTCTTTTATGATCTTGTGAGAGTGATGCCAAAGCAGGAAATACTGTTAAAAATACTCTGTTGTAGAGTGTACTCTTGTGGATTGTAATATTCTACTGGAATAGAGCTAACAGAGAGCAAATGTGGCTAAGAATCATCAGGCTACCAAAGACCACAAACAAAAACTGCCAGGAATATGATTTAGAGCAATATGTATCTATAAAACATAGGTAATACGAACTATAAACGTAAGACACGGAATAGATGATGGACATGTACAAATAAGAACGGCAAATGCGAGACTATACTAACCAGGAGGAAGAAGACGCGGCAGACATCAGAGAAGTTGAAGAGGTGAAGTAGAAAGGAGATCAGAGATAAAGGGTTGGAGATGGTTAAAGATCAGGAATCGGAAGACTTAGAAAGATATACTATAATACCAGAACCCAGCGTCTGATGGAAATTTAGGGTAAAACTAGAAAACGAAATTACTAAGAAGAATGAAATTTAACTAAACACTTATGCCATAGTAGGTAGGTACTTATGGAATTGGAAACAGAATGATACTGTGAGCCTTATCTTTGTATCAATTCTAGGCTAGGTAGGTAGATATGGAAAGCTGTGATGGAAAGATTCGTAACTATCAGGGAAATGCTGATGATGATGTTTTTGGACGCCATACCACCGCATGAATTGAAGCTATGCTTGAGAATAGGAAAATCAAAGCAACTATTGGAAGTGACTCTGGAACGGTCTCATCAGTCAAGGGAAGCCCCCAAGGGAGTGTATTATCCCCACTGCTGTGGCCACTGGTAGTAGATGAACTTCTCAACGCTCTAAGCGCCCAAGAGATTACGGTCTTACGATATGCTGACGACCTCACAGTTATCATTAGGGGTAAGCAGGACAGGATCGTTAGTGACCCCATGCAAAATGCCCTAAATGTCATTATTAGATGGTTTCTACAGGAGGGTTTAAGCGTCAACCCCGACAAAACCATAAATGTACCTTTTACAAGGAAAAGGAGGCTAAATCGAACAGCCCCAACTCTAAATTAGACAATCCAATCTATCTGTCAGACACAAAATTCGAAATGGTGTGACGGCCAAGCAAGTTTCTCTTAAATATGTGTTTTTTATGCGTATTGTCACACGCCTCGCGGCTAATGTGGGTAGGACCTGAGGTTGGGGGGTTTGCTCTTCAGGAAAATATACAACTTCATTTTGTGCTCACTAAAATGGCGTTTTGATATTTCAAAAATTCCGAGTGCTACCGAAGTTATGCGGAAAAAAACGAAATTCGCCCAAAATGATTTTATTTTTTCCTGACCTTATTTGAGGAGATATTTCAAAATAAATGGCACTTCATCGTTGCCACTTTTCCTCCTCTACAAGATGCCGTTATTAAATTTGAAATCGAACGTTCCGCTTTTAGGCTCTTATCATCAACTTCAAGTTTTTAAATACGGACCCTTATTTTCTAAGTTACATTTCATGAGCTTCTGATGTCCCAAAACCAATGACGTATTGCAATCATTCTTATGAGAATGCTGTTCCTCGGTTTCGAGAATAAAGTCCCTGCTGAGTGGCTGAACTTAGCCGCTGGCTCCGCCTGAATGTACCCAATGTTACTTTTATGAACAACTATCAGTACATGCAAACCTCATTCCTGATACAATGGTGTCAGTCTTTAATTTCGTTTGGGCACTATGCTCTCGTTTAGGTACTTCGATGCTAAATAGGGAGATTCAGCATCACAGGTTCTTCAAACAGCGCCTCCGCCATATGTCACACCTAATGTGGGTTGGACCTGAGGTTGGGGGTTTGCTCTTCAGGAAAACACACAAATACAAAAGGCATGCCGAATAAGTGTGGTTGTGGGATGTGGAAGCCTCCGAGAAAGGAACAATGTGTCTCAAACCTACAGGGTTCCAACACGTTCCAACTCCCAAGCGTGCCAAGTTCAGTGAGTTTTCTGCATTTAAATGAACTATCAGGAAAAAGACAAATAGCAGGGTTAACAGCGTTAACGGCAATCCAATACGAAACAATCTGGAATGGCAAATCAAAAAGTTTGTAGTAAGCATTATATCACAAAATAAACGAGTGCTATTTTGCATCATGTCTTCAACCATGATATATGGTTTTATAATGGGAAAACTAATAAGTAAGTTAGAGGATGTGGATAATCCTAACTGGGCCCCAAGTTCCTGCAAATATAGGCTGCGTATAATGGTAATGTCTTGTCGTATTGCACTTAACAGATTTACCCCTCACAAATACACTTTAAAGCGCATAAAACCGAGAAACTCCAAAAAAGTAGTAGACAGCACACGACTAAAAAATTAAGTTTGGCCCATGTGTAGCCGCCACGCCATCTTGAATGTCACGTGGTTTGGATTGCCTAATGGGATACACATCAGCTTCGCAAGTGAGGTTAAATATCTGGCAGTCATTTTGGATCAGAAACTCACTTGGAATCAACATCGTGAAAGAGTAACCGACCGGACAACAGCCACATACTGGACATGCTTTGGAGATTATTCAGCAAGACTTGGGGTCTAAAGCCAAAAATGATCGATTATTATTTAAAATAGTTATAAGACCTGCATGAGCATAAGTAAAACAACAGACAGCTCAAAACTGATTGACAACTTGCAAAAAGGTATGCATGTCTTGGAATTACAGGAGCAATGAACACCTGTCCAACCACCGCAATGGAGGTCATGTTGGGCCTCCCCCCAATAGATATAATAATGAGGAAAGAGGCCTACATAGGAGCCTCGAGAATACTGCATAAGGAAGGGGACCTTGTTGGCCACATGAACATTATGAAAAAATGCATATAAATGTGAAGACATAAAACCAGTTGACTACATGCAACATAGGAACGACTGAAACCGCCTTCAAAGTGACTGTTGAGGGCCACAGTATATTCCCGGAAGGCTCATCTGTCTGGTATACAGACGGATCGCAAGAGCAGGGGTCCACTTTATAGACTATCAACGGCCCTAGAAGAAAGCCCAACGGAAATATTCGCAATATAACTTTGCGCTAAAAAGTGTCTCAAAAGAGACCAGCGAAGAACGAAGATCAGTATCAATTTCGACAGATAGCACTAAGAGCCCTGAGTAGGTCTTTCACCAAGTCCGAACTGGTATGAGACTGCCAACAATTCCTAAATCAACTGGCGTCTTGTCATAGAGTCACGCTGTCTTGGGTAGCAGGGCATCAAGGCGACAAGGGGAATGAAATAGCGGACCAACTTGCAAAAAAAAAGCTGCAACACCATTCCTTGGACCAGAAACTTTATTTGGCATTACGAAAAGAATTGAGTGAAGGTTCAACAAGCCTCCTGCTGAAACTCGATTCCAGCACTTAGACAAGCGAAACAATTCATCTCGCCCTAGTCGATACCGGCCAGAGAGCCTCTGATTCTTTGGAACACATACTTATTGCAAATGTGAGGCTTTGTGCCGCAGAAAACTCATTCATCTGGAGCAGCCCTACTAACAGCTGTAAATGTGAAAGAAACTAATCCCAGGAACATTATAAGCTTTGCCAAAAGGCTTAATCTGGGCACCCAGTAGATACAAGGGAAAGCACAATAGATCTTATCAGGTCGCAGTGCGGAAAGATCTATAACTTAAATACCCCAACCATCAAAATCTACAATAATTCTCCCGGAATATCATTTAAAGCAGGAGAAGCCCACAAAGGCATAATCATCGACTTCATCTTAACGACTAGATAGAGCCATCATTTGGAAGCTCAGAAGCATGAGAAATTACAAACAAAATTCTTCTTATGAAATTATGTGGAGTTGCAAAGAAGGCCACTGATAATGATGTTGTTGATAATCAAATAAATTAAACAACTTATTCGTAATTGAAACACTTTATTTGTGATAAGACATGATTAATTCCCATAAAGTATTTAAGAAACTTAACATATCATCATTAGCACTTTATTTGTATCACAATATTTTATTCATTCCTTATTTTCTTAGCCCGATTTTGTTACAAATATTGTCGTTAAACACATAATGTTATGCCTTCTTTTATTAGTTCGAACCTGTACTAGCTAGCAAGGAATTTCAAATTAGATAATTTATGTATAACAGTTTGATAACTTCACTGGATTGAAAATTAAACTATCTAACTAACTCTAACGACTCTGAATAATTTAAAATTAAAACTGAGAAAACATTAATACCTTTACAATCTACAATGTCGAGGAAGGTAGCTAAATAAACTCAAATATAATAATAATAGGTATGGTATAACATCACATCAGTCAAGAAATAGACCTATGTACAAACAATTGTTATAAAATTAACAAATATTGGCATAATAATCTAAATAAATTAAGTTTGTTTGATTGTCCTTTTTTGACATTATTTAATAATAAAAGCTTAGTTGATTTCTTGCTACTCTTTTGTACTTACACTATTTTGTGAATTAATTATTTCCTCTAATTTAATTTGTTCTTTGTCTTCTTTAACACCATTCACCCCGTTTTCTATACTAACAACGCCTTCTTGAGGAATCGGTTCCCCCTTCAAAATATACTGAATTTCTTCTAAAGTTTTCCCTTTAGTTTCAGGAATGTACCACCAAGAAAATATCGCCGTGAGCAGCGTAGACGATGCAAAAATGTAAAACGGTATGTCCAAATAGTAAGCATGAATCAATCGCTGATACATTTCGACTGAAATTAACCCGAAAAATAAGTACGAGAAATCAGCTAGGGTCATGCCCATCGCTTTAACTTTGGCAGGGAATAGTTCGGCAGTCATTACAATTGGAATTATACCTAATCCAAATTTGAATACCGCGGCATAGACCATAACAGCTGCTATGGGTATCCAAGAAATGCCTTTAACATCATAATTAGAATTTTTCATTGTAAAGTATATCGCTAGAACTAAAAGCGATAGGCCACTAAGTAAACTAGATGATATCAGCAATCCCTTACGCCCAAACTTATCAACGGTAAAGTCAGCAATTGTAGCAGCTATCAACATAAAAGTCGAAAACAAAATTCCAGCAACTTCAAAGGAAATATATTCCGATTCCGCTTCTTTAAGGATGGAGTGGAGGTTCATCAGCATAACACTGATACTGCTAAAATGCTGCGAAGCATTCAACACAGTCATTATAATCAAAGCTTTCCTATTGCTCTTGGACAAAATCAAATCCTGAGGTCTGCCTCTTTCGCTTCGTTGCCGATTCACAGCCGTAGTAATTTCCTCCATTTCCTTATCGACATTATCGTTTGTTCTGAGTCGCAACAAGTGACGCTTGGCCTTGTCGTTTTTGTTCTTTTGTAATAAATAGTACGGAGAATCGGGCATGAACGGAAAAGAGATTAGTTGGATGATGACAAACACTGAACCGATGACTGAGCAAGCGTAGAACGGAGCAAACGGAGCAACGGCGTAGACTACTAGGATTCCGACCAGCATCATGACGTAGATGACTCCCGCTAGGAAGCCTCGGATCTTTTTGTCCGCTATTTCCGCTATGTACATTGGGGCCGCTACGAAGGCCACGTCTCCTGACAGACCAACCATAAATCTGAAAAAATATATAGTAATTAGTGGATGGCAGGTTTGTAATTATCACTGCTGAGGTTTATTATCACCAACCAACACAACAAAACATGTTTCTAGAAGTTCAACCAGATTACTCACCTAGCTACATACAAATAAATCACATCGTTCGCAACAGCGATAAGTATCCAGGCGATAAGCGAAATGACCGCAGCTAATAGGATGGAAGCTTTGCGTCCCAATCGGTCCACCGAATAAATAGTTACTGGAAGACCTGCGAGTCCGCCAATTAGATAAATGGATTCTAGCCAGGTGACGTCCGATGGCGATATCTGGATGTGACTGTCCTCTTTTTCCAGGATGGGCATGAAAGGTGCTGACCAGCCATAGTGCATGCCATCTGATATTGCTCCGATTGTACCTAGAAAAATACAATTCAATTAAGTCGTTACATTGTTTGTTTGTTGTCAACGGTAATAAACGCTTGTTTAAAAATTTGCTTATAATGCCGCAATGACACGTTCGCTGAACTACTTTGTTGCATGCTCATTAAAAATATTGTGGAAATTTTTAATCATAGTGTTGGTAGATTGTGCTGCGGTTTTAGAAAAATTGAAAACATCGGCTTCCTAGTATTTAAAAAAATAAATTATTATTATGCGTGATTATTCCATTATTACAACTGTACATTAAATTTTCATGGTCTCAGAGAAATTTAAATATGCTGGTCGTAAAGTGGGGAATCCTGAAATAACGTCTGAATGGCGCCAAATTAGATCGATCTTAAAACGTGGAGGCTTTTTAATAAAAGAAAAATTGTATGTACTTATACAGTGTGCATCAGCCAAATGGAATAAATTCGATAATCAATTGAAGGGGGGCCGTATCTCAAATTCTATTATAGATAGAAAGCAGAAATTTTCAGCGATTCTTATTCTCGTGGAGGACTACAATTCCTGGATATTACAGCTCATTTAGGATTATAGTTCCTGAGATAAAACCGCGTTAAGTAATGTAGGGTGACGTGTCCTTTTTTCAAATATGCTTGACTTCCAGTTGTTTCCTTCATGTTCAATTTTGTAACAGTTTCAAATGATAAATCTTGGGCTGCATTTTTTCCATATTACAGAGACAATTATCTTTTAAATCTCCCATAGATTTATAGTTTCCAAATTATTATGCGGTATTAATTGCATCTGAGAATATTGAATTTGGGTTTCAAAACACAGATCTTCTTGACATTTCTCTTCAACGCAAACTTTGTTGCCTACTTTTAGTGAAATTCTTGGATATGACACATTTTTTTTCTACCATTAATTCAACTCGGGAACAGGCAACATCGGAATTTCCAGTTTTTCTAGATTACTGTTAATTATTTCAAACGATCTTCTTTCCTGAATAGTTGTAATATTTATACTTGATCTATATGGTAGTATTTGCTCTCTTAAAATTTCAACTTTTCCTGATCTAAATTCACAAATCAGTGCTGTGAATACTGTGGTGCAAGCGGCAGCGTTGACCTTCGGCCGGTGTGCATTTGCGATCTCCGAGGTAACATCCAACAATTACTAACTTTGTGTAACCTTTCCTGGGTGAATTGGGTACGTTTTCCACTATGCCCGTTTTTTTTTCTTTCCAAATACTTTTTAATTTTCCTTGTACCGCAAATTTTTGATCTATCTCCATTGGCATTTCTTTTTAAAGTACCTAACTATGGAGGATTGGGATGGGATGACCCTGGGAGGTGGTTCTCCACCCTAGGTCATCGATGATATTATTATAAACTCAGCGAATGATAGTAAATTGATTGCTAGAAAAAAAGACAATGAACAAGCGAGCGAGAGACCCGATTTTTTATAATAATGAATATATAGGTCCATCTATGGTATTTGTGGAATCCACTGAAAAAACAGATAACAGCATTTGTAGATTTAACAATCTGAAAATAGCAAAGGAAATATTTGACCCTAAATAATTGAAAGACGTTAAAAAGATCAATAATAATTACAGGTGATAGGTGAACGGTGTAAATACAATAGTTGTAGTATTTCATCTGAACCGCCAGAATTTTCAATTAGATGTACAAATGAGCTACAAAAAGTGGAAAAATATGTCAATGTTCACTTTTTTCAAATGGAATGCCCTTTATTTTCTTTAAAATTCTTAAAGTTCTCGTTTTTCTGATTCAGATTATATAATATGTTAGTGTTTCTTTCGACAGTTTTGGAAATATCTGGAGTTTAGTTATTCAAAGAGAGTAGTTTTTTGAAAAAATTTCACCTTGATTTACCTGTAACCTGTCGCAAAACATTGTGATATAACGTGAATAGATCTTTGAATAACTAAACTCCAGATATTTCTAAAATTATTGAAAGAAACATCAACATATTATATAATCTGAATCAGAAAAACGAGAACTTTAAGAATTTGAAAGAAAATAAAGTGCATTCCAATTAAAAAAGTGAACATTGACATATTTTTCCACTTTGTCTTGCTCATTTGTTCCATCTAATTGAAAATTCTGGCGGTTCAGATAAAAAGCTACAACTTTTGTATTTACACTTTTTACCTAACACCTGTAATTACGGCTGCAGGTGGGTGTCAAAATATAGTGACTCACCCTGTACAATGTCGGGTATTTTTGTCTGCGATGAAAAGTACTCCCCTAGGACACCAACCTCCAATTCGAAAAAGCTAGGAGACCCACGCAAAGTATTGTCAGCCTAATACGCGATCCAAATGCAGGGTAACCAACTGACCACACTTCTGTCAAGAAAAATGGGAAGAGTTCTTCTTTATCTGTGGCGTAGCGAATAGGGGCAGACCGCCAAGATGATGTCTTGTCGCTTGTCTGTAGAGAACTGACCATACAAAAAACAAGTGTAAGGATAAGGAAAAGTGCTTCAACTGTGGAGAAAAAAAATACGACCAGGACTTAGCAGGCCTGCCATCTCCGTTCACGTATCAAACTAAATGTCACTTTTGCAAAAAAGACCCTATCCAAAAGTTGCTCAGAATACAGCCGACAAACCAATATAAAAAAACTCATGGCTTATGATAATTTAACTTACTTTGATGCTGACAAGTTATGTAAAAAGACATACATTCTAAACGATGATTATAACTTTAACCCAAGCGAATTTCCAATTTTGCAGGCCCCCAGAAAAAAAAAAAATAAAATATTACGACATAAACCCTTGGATGAAATTTTCCAGCCACTCTCACACCAATCTCTACTTATGGATGACCTCAACTCCCACCATCCCATATGGGACATAAGTCCCCCCAACTCAGGAGGCAGAAACATAAACAAATTCCTACTGGAGAATGATTTTGTGATTTTGAATTATGGAACACCTACCCTCCTCCAACCCCCAGACCAAAATAGCAGCGCGGTTGGCCATGCCCTTATCAGCGATGTCTATGCACCTATCTCGTCTTGCAATGTACCTACTACAAGATTGTAGCGGCAGTGACTACTTTTCCACTATGGTCAAAATAATGAGACTAGCTATCCAGAGGCAGATATAGACCAGGACTGATGAAAACCTTTTCCATTAGAAACTTTTTTTAAGTGAACTGGAAAATGTTCCATGACAAAAGTGAATCTTGTAGAGAGTGACATCAGCTTTGAGAAGCTGCAGATAATCATCAACAATGCAGCTGAAGAAGTAATTCCATATAAAGACTTCAACAAACCGAAAAGGGTAACCAGCCCATGGTGGGATTCGGACTGCTCCATTATCATCAAAAATCGCACGGAAAATCTACAAGCATTCCAAGACAACCCAAACATTGAAAAGTATATTGAAGCTAAACGAGCTATTGCCTATTGCCAAACTACAACAATATTTTTTTGCAATTGTGTGAGTCTCTCAACAGACATGCGTTTAACAGAAAATTAAAAAGTTTCATGTTCATAACTCCTTTAACAAAACAACTATTAATGATGACAATATAGAAATGATTAAAAGAATGGTAGTTTGAAACATCGACCCCAACTTTACAATGTCTCCACTGCCTGACAATATAAAATATATCACTCTCCAAGAGCTTAAAAATGGGTTAAAAGGAAAGAGCCTTTCTGCTCCCGAAATGGACGAAACTACCTATAAAATGTTGGATTACCTCCCAGATACAGCAAGGAAACTCCTATTGGGAACTTATAATAGTTGCCTCTCAGGAAACGCAATTCCACAATCTTGGAAAAACTGCAATATCATTACGATCCTAAAACCAAATAAAACCCCGTTAAATGTGGGAACTATAGACCTATTGTCTTTTCCTCCTGCTTCTGCAAGATCTTGGAAATCATGAAGTAAAATCGTCTGGATTAGTGGCTAGAAAACAACAAGACCTTCAGCTGGTCTAAACAGGGTTCAGAAATGGTATTGCAACACTTACAACACACATCAATCTAGCCTTTAATCTAAATGAAACCGTATTGGCAGTATTTTTGGACATCAGATCGGCCCATGATGGAGTAAACATATATTCATTGTATGACAAATTGAAAAAGGCAAGCATAACGATGGAACTGTCAAACCTAATATTTAGATTGTTATCAAACAGACCTTTATTCTCCAGAAAAAATGATGAGTCCTTCGCGGGACCAACCCTAGCAACTTCAGGGCTCCCACATGGTTCCCCTCTTAGTACTGTTCTGTTCAACATTTATATCGCACATCTATTCAAGTTCCTACCGAACGATGGTAATCTGATGGGATATGCTGATGACTTACTTGGTAATCTTCTGCAAAGGCAAAAACGTACAACAACTATCGCAGAAGATTAACGTTAAAAAACAAGGACAAACTGAACTGTATACTATATGAAGGACTGAGAATTTGTACGGGATGAATGAGATCTACTCCCACCAATGTCCTACTGGCCGAATCAGCAATGATGTCCCTAGAATACAGGAGAAAGTGGTTACGTGTTAAATTTTTAACTAAACCCATTTCAATACTCAACGCACCCATTAATACTAGCTCTCAGACAACTACATCAATGCTATGCACGTAATGCAGGGTCTGGGAGGAACAACATAGTCCTTACCTTGTACAGCCATTAGCTCATTTCTTCCCATATTTTAACAAAATATACAAAGAACCATAGCAACCATGCTATGACTCTGAATATGACATCCAAACTCAGCCCCTAGGAAACTTGAACCTTAGCCTCAAAAAAATAGAGCTGACTACTGAATCACAGTTTTTGATGGATACTGAGAAACTTAAGAAAAAATAAAACCTTATCTATGTACACAGCTTCAAAAAAAAGGTATAGAGCTGGATTCGGGATCCACATCCCTGATATCGATTTCAGATTTTCGGCAAGACTACAAGGGGAATTATGCATCTGCACTGCAGAAACGATTGCCATTTACGTAGCAGCCAATATTGTACTAAGGAAAAATTG